CCCACCGGCTGCTTCAGCAGGTAGCGACAGATCTCCCCGATGTACTGCACCACCTGGGCGTGGGGATCCCGGGTCTGAGGGGGGCCGGCTGGGGGCAGGGGCTGCCAGACCCCATACCGCCCCAACCCGGGAGCTGATCCTGTGAGTGCGGGAGTCTGGACGGCAGGTGGCGGCAGGTGGCTAAGGCGGCTGGATCACATGGCTAACTGCAGGGTTCCAGTCCCAGACCAGGAGGCTTGAAAAATACCCCAGATGCGTGTGCGTGCCCCCAAATCCTAAGAGGAGAATGGAGAAGGGATTGTGGTGTGGCCATCCCCCCTGGGAAGGTGATTTCTCACTTTCTCCCTCACTGTCCACCTCAGTGTCTTTGGTGAACATATGTACCCTGTGGCAAAAACTATATTTAAAAAAAGGGGACCAGCAGGTGGCATGGTGGTTAAGGACACTGTACTCCCACATGGCTGACTATGGTTCGAGTCCCAGATCTGGCAGCTTGCTTACTTTCTCTCTCTCTCTTTCTCTGTCCCTCTCTGGTCAAATTTAAATAAATAAATAAAGTTAAATAATTGGTATTTTTAAAAAGAGGAAAATAAAGTTAGGCAGCCAGCCGGTGGTATGGGAGTTGGGGTGCTAAATTCCCAGATGGTCAACTGTAGTTCAAGTCCCAGACTTGACGAATTGCTTTCTCACTTTCCTTCTTTCTCTTTCGGGTAAGTGTATGTCCCCTGTAACAAATTAGATAATAATAATAATAATAAATGCAATTAAGTAACTTTTTCTGGAGAGGTTTTTGCTATAAGGCGCATGCACTCTCCAGAAAGACAGAGAGAGCCAGAGAGACAGAAAGCGAGAAATCACCCCCCAGGGGGGATGGCCACGCTGCAATCCCTTCTCCTCCATTCTCCTCTCGGGATCTTGGGCACGCACGCACACGCGCCCGGCGTGAGTTTAAGCCACCAGGTCCGGAACTCGAACTGCGGTCGACTACATGGGAGTCCAGTGACATAGCCATTACGCTAACTGCTGGTCCCAAAATTGCTTTAATAAAAGACATAGCTTGATAGGTGAGGCACTTGGGATTGGGCCATTTCCCAGACTGTAGAGAACAATGACTTCACTGTCGTTTTTTGGCTGTGATGGTAGGTTCTGGTTCTCATTTGAACTGCCAGAGTAGGCCTGTGCTCATGAGAAAGAGAGAGAGAAAGAGAGAGAGAGAGAAAGAGAGAGGGAGAGAAAGAGAGAGAGAGAGAAAGAGAGAGAGAAGAGAAAGCATCTCTGTGGGAACTGACCATGCCATAATCCCTTCTCTTCCACGCCTCTCTCCTTTTGGGATTTTGGGCACACACGCATGTGTGCCAGGAATATTTTTCTTTCCTTTTTAACATTTTTGTCATAGGGCATGTGTGCTCACCCACTAGAGAGACAGAGAGGGAAA